AATCTAGAAGTGTTCCTTCAGGAACTATTTTTAAAAGCCTTTCTAGGCAAGGGGAAGAAAAAAAATCAAATCTACTTTTTAAAAACTAGAGTGAGAATCCAATGAACTCTGAGGATGCGTCATCGAGCTACAGTGGCATCGATCCTTAGCCATCCTAATCTGAATTATCGTCTTTCTCCGGTGCCCTCCATCCCACCCTGCCACATCCTTGCTCCACTGGCATCTTCTGTTATTCTAAGTCACATACTAAAATATTAATATCACAGGGCTTTAATTTTATTTATTTATGCTTATGTGTGTAGGTGTTGTGCCTGCATGTTTGTCTGTGCGCCTGGGGAGACCAGAAGAGGCCTTCAGATCTGGAACTGGGGTTACAAAGGGTTATGAATTAGCATGTGTGCCCTGAGAATTAAACCTGAGTCTTCTGAAAAGTAGCCAGTACTCTTAAGCCACTGAGTCATTTTAGCTCTATCATAGGAGCTTAGCTATAAACATAAATATTTCCGCCTAGTTTTTTTTTTATTAATTTTTTTTTTTGTTTCTGCTTTTCAAGACAGGGTTTCTCTGTGTAACAGTCCTGGCTGTCCTGGAACTCACTTCGTAAATGAGGCTGGCCTGGAACTTATAGAGATCTGCCTGCCTCTGCCTCTTGAGTGCTTGGGTTAAAGGTGTGCACCACCACCACTTACCCCAAGATTTGTTTTCTTAATGTATGTGTGTCAGTGTTTGCATATATGATTGTGAACCATGTTCTTGTCTGCTGGCCACAGAGGTCAGAAGAGGGTGTTGTATTTCCTGGAACTGGAGTTACAGAAGGTTGTGAGCCACCATGTAGGTGCTGCGAATAGTTTCTCTGGAAGAACAGCCAGTGCTCTTAACTGGTAAGCCGTCTCTCCAGCATCTCCCTCCTTTAGAGACAGTATCTCACTATGTAGCCCTGGCTGGTCTGGAACTGTGTAGACCAGGCTAGCCTCCAATTGATAGAGATCCACCCCTTGAGTGGCTGGAATTAAAGGCGTGTCCTGCCATGTCGAGCAACTTTTTAAAGGTTTATTTATCTTTATTTATGTGTATATATGTGTGTCTGTAGAAAGGTACGTGTGCCACAGATGTGCAGGAGGAACTGAACGACAGGCCGTTGTGAACTACCTGATGTAGGTGCAATAACTACTCTTAACTGCTGAACCAAACATTTTTTAAAAATAAACACTTAGTCCAGTTAGTGTACCCTGCAAGTGTGTGGGTGTGGGGCCTTACACTGGAGCACGGGCGACTAACAGTAGCCACACCCTTGAAGAAAAATGATAGTCTTCCAGCCGCGGTCAGTTGTCTCTAGTTCCTCAGCTGGACAGAGAGTTTATGACCGACCACTCCCCTCCGCCACGTACCCATGCTGGAATGCTGATCAGCTTGCTCGTGTGCAGGCAACCATGGCCACTGTTAGTTCCAAGAGCAGCAAGCAGCATTTCACAGCACCTCTTCCCATCTTTCAGCTCCCACATCCCCTCTGCCTTCACCCACTGAGCCGTTACTGCCCTCACTGGCTCTTACTGTTTGTTGTTTGTTCTTCTTCCCTTAAACCTATGACATAATCGTGTTGTGTTCTGAAGGTGCATTCTGTCATGTAGTGCTAGTGGATGCTGGCATTCGAGGGGACGACCTCTTATTTATTAAAGGTGGCAAAATGGTGGTATTCTACCATACCTTGTTTATATAGAATACTCCTGTAAAGAGAAAATTTTTCAGCTGGGTGGTGGTGGTGCATACCTTTAATTGGATCTCTGTGAATCAAGGACAGCCTGATCTACACAGTGAGTTCCAGGACACCAAGGCTGAGAAACCCTGTCTCAAAAAACAAAAAACAAAAAAAAAAAAAAAAGAAAGAAAGAAAGAAAAGAAAATTTCTTTACAGTAGCATTGGTTTATTCAGTTGGTACAAATATTTTTTTTTTTTTTATAAAAAAAGACCCATGTGTATGGGTCTTTTGTGTGCATGTTTGTGTACATTGTGTCATGGAGGCCGGAAGAGGAAATTCGATTCAATGGGACTGGAATTACAGATGTTTGTAAGCTGCCATGTAGGTACTGGGAATTAAATCCAACTCCTCTGGAAGAGCAACCAGCACCCTTTTACTGCTGAGTTGACTCTCCAGTGTGGTGGTACAGTTCTTTACAGAAATTAACACCGGAGCACCGGAGCTAGCGAGATGGCTCAGAGGTTAAGAGCACTGGCTGCTTTTCTTTTTTTTTTATTATGTATACAACATTCCTGCAATGTATGTTTGTATGCCAGAAGAGGGCACCAGATCTCATTATAGATGGTTGTGAGCCACCATGTGGTTGCCGGGAATTGAACTCAGGACCTCTGGAAGAGCAATCAGTGCTCTTAACCTCTGAGCCATCTCTCCAGCCCCCAACTGGCTGCTTTTCTAGAGGTTCTGAGTTCAGTTCTTGGCAGCCACATGAGGGTTTACAACCATCTGTAGTGAGATCTGGTGCCCTCTTCTGGCAGGCAGGGATACGTGCAGACAGAACACTGTAAACATAATAAATAAATAATTTTTTTTTAAAGGAAAGGAAAGATGCCAGGTGGTGGTAGCGCACGTCTTTAATTCCAGTGCTCGGAAGGCAGAAACAGTCAGATCTCTGTGAGTTCAAGACCAGCCTGGTCTACAGAGTGAGTCAGGACAGCCAGGACTGTTACACCCTGTCTCGAAATCCCCCCTCAAAAAAAAAAAAAAAAAAAAAAAAGGGAGGCCGACAACTTAACACTCCTTAATTTTTTTTTCTTTTTTAAATTTATTTATTTATTATGTACACGGTGTTCAGCCTCCATGTATGCCCTCAGGCCAGAAGAGGGCACCAGATCTCATCACAGATGGTTGTCAGCCACCATGTGGTTGCTGGGAATCGAACTCAGGACCTCCAGAATAGCAGTCAGTGCTCTTAACCTCTGAGCCATCTCGCCAGCCCAACACTCCTTAATTTTGTTTTCATAGTTTAGAACCACAGACTTTGTTTTGGGGGGATGGTTGAGGGAGCCTTATGTATCACAGCCTGGCTTTAAACCCACTACATAGCCAAGGAACTTGAATTTATGAGCCTCTTGCTTTGATCAGTGACGTGCTGGGCTGGAATCACAGGCAAGCACCATCACACTGGAGTTCTGTTTGGTCTTGTCCTTTTTTTTTCTTTTTTCTTTTCTTATTTACTGAAATTCTATGTGTCCGGGTGATTCACCTCACGTCTGTCGGTCTGTGCATCACTTGCATGTCCTGCACCTGGAGGAGGTCTGAAGAGAGTGTTTGGTTCTGGATTTGGAATTACAAAAGGATGTGAACTACTATTTGGGTACTAGGAATCGAACCCATGTCCTTTGGAAGACCAGCCAGTGCTATGCACTTATTCTTCTAGCCCTGGTCCTGGGTTTTTTTTTTTTTTTTTTTTTTTTTTTGAGACTAGAGTTTATTGAGCTAAGGTTGGCCTTGAATTTGCTATGTCTCTGAGGCTGGACTTGAACACCTGATCTTCCTGCTACTGTTTCCTTAGTGCTGAGATTACAAGGGTGCCACCATGCTGTTTTAGACCATGGTAAGGACCGCATCCAGGGCTTGGTGTATGCTAGACAAGCACTTTAAGCAACTGAGCTGTCTACATACCCTAGCACTGCAGGCTTCTCTTTTCTTAAGATGTCAAACGTTTATATAAACTGCTTTTTAATGCATAATGTATAAAATACTTCTTTTCCAACAGAAACTGGGTGTGGGGATACAATGGATAGCACAGAGCTCGTGGTGCCGTGAGATTTGCTCATTGGGATCAAAGGATGCTTCTCATTCCTTCACTTTCTCCTCCCCTACTCCCAATCCTTAAAAACAAAATCCAACGTGTGAGGTTCTTCTGTGTGAAACATCAAGGAGGGGCAGCAGTCCATCAGAGCAGATCTCAGAACCTTGAAAAGTTTTATTTCCTTTTTTCTTATTTGGAAACAGCAGTGTGTATCTGCATTTTCTCACTTCGCACTGCAACCCCCCGCCCCCCCCTCAAGTTCAAGCCACATTTTCTGTTTACTTTTGGAACAATGGGAATTTCTGAGATTACACATTTGATTTTTTAAATCATATCGTCCGTTCCATTTGCTGTCATTTATTTAATTTTACATGTCTTTCGTTGTGTATATTGTAAAAGGATAGAGTTTGCTTGTGTGGCCCCTCCCTCCCAGCAAAAACATTCATAAGGCCACCGGTCACCTATGAGAATATCTTTTTCTTGGCACAGCACACACAAGCCGTGTGTTGTTTAAAGATCTTCACTGATGTATGTGGAGGCGCCTGAAAGGTTTTCTTACTCGAGTTTTCATTTGTGTTTCTATGATTACTCTTAAGATTGAATGGCCATCGGTATTTGCTAACAAGGTTTAAAGCTATTTGCTCGGGCCGTGGCTTAAACCGGGGAAGGGTCCTGCCAATGCCACTAAGAGACAAAACCAATGATGAAACCCAGAAATATCTCGTTTTTTAGACTTCATCTCTGACTCCGCCTCCCACCCGCAGCTCGGTGAGCCCTTTGTGTGTGCCAACGATCCGCAGATGGGATCTCTGTCTGCAGGACTGCAGACAGATGTACTGACACCAAAGACACGCATTGTGTACATATAATACTTCTGAATACAGTGCTTATGGGACAGAGTTCTGGAGTAGAGACCATGCCCCGGGTAGCTGCCCTGTCGGGGAGTCTGTACAGGCGTAGCCTTCCCGCTCGGTTTTCGACTGGCTGGTCTGAGGACCCCGGAGAAGCGGGCAAGCTCCGGGAGGTCGATGCGCTCTATTATCGGCTGCTTTTGCCTCCCCTCCCCCGCCCTCTTTTAGCTATAGCTATGGTTACCACGTCTCTCCCCGCCTCCCTTCACCTGCCAAGAAAGAGAGTGCTCATTGGTTCTCCGTCACTAAGCTAGCCAGCCATTGGTTGCTGGCGAGTCCGGCGCTCCCCCGGCCCCTGTCTCCCCGGTCTCTTGAGGAGCCCGGGAAGGAGGCTCGGCTCGCGTTGCCGGGACCGGGCTGCGGCAATCGTTAACGGGCCATGTCTGCTGCCCAGGGCTGGGACCGAAACCGCCGGCGGGGAGGAGGCGCGGCCGGCGGGGCCGGCGGGGCTAGCGGGGCCGGCGCGGCAGGCGGGGGTCGGGGCACCGGCCAGCTCAACCGATTCGTGCAGCTCTCCGGACGGCCGCACCTGCCAGGTGAGTTGGGGCGGCTGCCGGCGTGAAGGTGGCGGCCGCCGGGCTCTGCTCCTCGAACACACAGCCGAGGACGGGGAGGCAGAGCGCCGGGAAGGTGGCGTTGAGGTCAGGAGGTGGACCGGAGCACGCCCGAAGAAAAGTCTGCTGTGTGGACAGCTCGGTGATGAGAGTTGTGTTTTCCATTCGAAGGAGAGGCCACTGTCTCTTTGACATTCCCAAATGTTTTGCTTGCCCGGTTCCTAATCTTTTCCCCTTCCACAGTTTGATGTTGTGAAAGAAAGACATTGGTGTTTAGCTGTGGAAAATTATTTGGAAAAGAGTGCCAAATTAAGGAGAGGACAAGAGGAATGCTGGAGTGATTTTGTTTAAAATAAAATAAAAAAAAACTCCTAACTGTGTAAGAGTCGGGTATTTTGAGAAGGAATGAGCGTGTGAAAGTGTGTGTGTGTGTGTATGTGTATGTGTGCGCGCGCGTGCCCGCGTGTGTGTGTGTGTGTGTGTACGCGCGTGTGTGTATGTATGTGAATGTAAATGTTGACTGGGGAGTGTATGGGAAAGAACCAAAAAGACTGAGGGAAATGGTTGAATCATTAATATTTGGGGATGTTCAGAGACAGAATGGATAATGGTGTCTAGATTTCCGAAGGGGGAAATGAAGATCAAGAATATAAAGAAGGAAATGGTGCTGTGACCCCGGTGTCAGAACTGGAAATTGGAAAAATATACCTATTGCTATAATTTCATGTTTTGGTCTTTGCGTTCCCATGCCTTAAAAAGAAAAAGAAAAAGCCCAAAGTCAAAGTGATATGTGTGCAATCAATTTTAAACGAATACATTTATAAATGAATTTTCAGTTTGTTAAAAGGAAGGTAGAGAATTGAGTCCTGCACAGAATGCCAATCATTCTATTGGGCAATCGTGTTTTCTTACCATGAAGAGAACTGTCAGGAGTGATGTATTAGACCTTCGCCATGTTTTTTTGTGTTATGTGTGACTGGTGTGATGTTGATTGTATCAGTGACATATTTGTTTAGATCAGTTCTGAGAACCTGATGGTTTTTGAATTGTGTTTACTACTGTGTTCTTTTAGGTAGTGAAAAATCAGTTGATTAATTTGAAGATAACAAAGGAAATTTTGCTTGCTCAATGAGATAATTACTAACATTTGTGATGTGGTTTTAACGTGTGCCAAAAATGTTCATGAATCTGTTTGTATGTGCCGCTAAAATAAAATTGAGACATTCGTCAATAGCCAAATATGCAATGAATTGGATTTGAAATGACAGTATCAGACTGGGTATCCTGGAATTACTAAATATGTGCTTTTTAAAATGAAAAAAAAAAAAAAGAAAAAAACCTGAGACATCTTTTTTGTTATTTGCAGTTAACAGCAGAACCATAGATTTTCGTGTGTTGCTAGCCTAGAAGATAAATCCCTTGGCAAGCACTATTCCCAGTTTGCCCTCTGCCACTGAAATCTTTAAGTCTTTGGTCATGGATTAATTATTATACCATGAACTTCATGTGGGCATTCTCAGGGTTCTGTAACCTGTTGGTGTAGTTCGTTACTGCTACCACATGAGGGCGGTGGAAGCCATGGTTTCAAATAAGGGCCTGAAGTATGGCGCTATTTCTGCATTCCCTTAGCACACGAGGACAAGAGCAGCCATTTGTCCAGAGGTGAAGATAAAATGTGCTTGTGCTTAAACTGTGAAAATTGGAGAAGTGGAGTCATCAGTCTTCGTTCTCCTTCCTTTCTTCCAGGCCGGCACTCAGTTCCTCCTTCCTCCACAGGCATTCTCCATCTTTTCCTCGTTGTCAATACTGGAAAATTTCTGATCTCTCGATGATATATTTTGAAATTCTTTCATACTAATCTTTTGTTCTCCCAGGTATTACATATTAAATCTTTTAACTCTATTTTGAAATAATCCAAAAGGTTTTAAGTGGTAGGGAGGAATAGGAATGTCTAGGTCTGTTTTATGGCTGACCCTGCAGGGCTAGCTACTTTTCCCCATTTGATGTATTCATTTCCCATCTCTTTTGACCTCTACTAGCTTCCACACACTGGAAGAGCCTTTTCTTACTTTTAGCGTCTCTGCCTTGTTCCCAGTCCCTCTGAAACAAAGCCGCATCACTTGGTGCTCTTTGTAGAACGCTTCCACCGTCTTTCAGGGATAGCATCATTTGAAAACAATTTAAAGACAAGGTCTCACTATATATTCCAGCTATTCTGGAACTTCCTGTGTAGACCAGGGTGGCTTTGGACTCACAGAGATCCTCCAACCTCTACCTCCTATGTGCTGGCATTAAACGCATCCACTACTATGCCTGGCTTGGTGCTAGCATTTTTACCCATCTTACGGGAACTTGAAATCAGGGTGATCTCCTTAAGCTCCCCACCAACTTCAGTTGTAATCAGCTACCTAGTCTTGTTTCTTTTGCTTCTGTGGTAACTAATTCTTGATGTCAGGTTTACTGCAGCAGCTTCCTGAGTAGTCTTCCTCCTTCTGCTAGTACCTTCCATTCTTATGGTGCTGGTCTTTCATCACCTCTGCTTATAGCCTTTTTCTAGTTCTTTGTCCAGGCTGGCCTTGAACTGTCCGTCCTCCTGCTTCAGCTTCTAGAGTAGCGGGATGCAGGCAAGTGCCACTGTACCCAGTCTTTTATTTCATTGTAGGGTAAACATCCTGAACGTGTCCTAACCCTCCATTTTGTTCTCTGCCCTCTGATCTTTTTCTCTCAGGACCGGAAGCCACTGTGTGTGTTCTTCTCTCCCACAGTAGCCTCTTGTGCCTCAGTCTCTCAGTTAGTTTCTGTTTCATTGAATCTCAGTTGTATTTTTTTCCCATAGAGGCCTTCTCTTACCTTCTTTCTGGACCCTCCTTAGGTATACAGTACATAGCATACCGTATTCCTGTTTGTATACACACATGCACACACACACACACACACACATATACATATCCCACAATGTAATGTCTTAACTTTTTTTTTTTTTTTTTTGGTTTTTCGAGACAGGGTTTCTCTGTGGTTTTTGAGCCTGTCCTGGAACTAGCTCTTGTAGATCAGGCTGGTCTCGAACTCACAGAGATCCGCCTGCCTCTGCCTCTCGAGTGCTGGGATTAAAGGCGTGAACATTTTTTAAATGAAACTCAATTTCTTTATTTTTAAGATTTATTTATTTATTATGTATGCAATGTTCCTCCTGCCTGTACACTTCCATGCCAGAAGAGGGCACCAGATCTCATTACAAATGTGGTTGCTGGGAATTGAACTTAGGACCCCTGGAAGAACAGCCAGTGTTCTTAATCTCTGAGCCATCTCTCCAGCCCCCAGTCTTAACATTTTTTAACTAAGAGCTGTAGAGAGAGCTTTGAGGTTAAGAGTATTGGTTGCTCTTTCAGAGATTCAGGGCTCAATTCCCAGCATCCACATAGCGACTTAAAACCAACCATCTTTAACTACAGTTCTAGGGAATCTGACAGACACCAGGCATACAAGTGTTACACAGACATACATGCAGGTAAAACACCTGTGCACATAAAATTAAAATATTTTTTAAATGATAAAATAAATGAATGCACTGAGATTGTGTGTAAGATATTAATGTGCAGTGGTTTGATATTGTGGTTTGACTCTTCAGAGCCCGTGGCTCCAAACAAACAGGTAATGGTGAGTTCTTAGAGTATCAGACCTAGTGTCGGCATAGTGTTTTGTAATTTTGAATATTGTCTTTCTGCTATCTTTTTTATTCTTGGAATATTTAAGAGCGGAGTTGCTTATTGCGTGTGTGCATTCACACACGTATGAGCATGCCACAATATGCATTTGGAAGTCAGAGGACAATTTTAGGACTAGAACTCAGGTTGTTAGACTTGGCAGCAAGCTCATTTACCTTCTGTGCCGTCTTGCTAACCCCTTTCTACTATTTTCTAAGATATAGCAGTGATGATGTGTTTACCCCACAGGCTAAGATATTCATAGGTTTTAATCTTTGATTTTTCAAGACAGGGTTTATCTGTAGCTTTGGAGCCTGTCCTGGAACTAGCTCTGTAGACCAGGCTGGTCTCGAACTCACAGAGATCCTGTCTGCCTTCCAAGTGCTGGGATTAGTATTTATATACCTAGGGAAAAATAGGAAACGATGCTGCTATTTTGTAGATGAAGCATTTAGAGATACAGCGAGGGGACTGTGAAACAGAACAGAAGTCAGTGTTATGTTTTAGCATGAATTTAATGAAGTGTCTTTGTTAGTAGAGAAAGCAGTCAAACAGCATTGCTAACGTGGGGACTGAGAGAGAAAGAAACACTTAACAGTTGCTAGTGCTGGGTCAAAAATAGTCCAGAAATCTTAATTTAAAGGTCTTAAATAAGAAATGTGGCTGGGTAGTGGTGCACACTTTTAATCCTATGATTTGGGAGGCAGAGGCAGGCTGATCTCTGTGATTCGAGGTCAGCTCTCTGAGATAGCAAAGCAAGTTCCAGGACAGGCAAACCTACACAGAGAAACCCTGTCTCAAACAGACAAACAAACAAACAAACAAACAGAAATATGTAAAATTCAAATAGTAGAAATGGCATATGATAGCCACACACGGTAGCTGTGATCCCAGCCTCAGGAAGAAGAGGCAGGAAGTCCTGGTCTCCTCTGCTACAGAGCTGCATTCGAGTTGGAGGCCATCTTAAGCAACATAAAACCTGTCTCAAAAGCAAGAAAGCCAAACAAAACAACATATAGCAGAAGGCAAGTTTTCTATCTTTACCCTGCCTTTTGGCTTCTCTCCCTAGTAACAAACAATGATGCGTTTTCTCGGGGTTTGCCTGGTCTGGGTGTGTTGTATGCTTAGATATGCTAGATAGTGCAGTCTCCTACCACAGCGACACAGTGAGATTCCCTGTTGTATGAGGATATTTATCTTGCAGGTTAATTCCTAGGAGCATTGTTTAAACCTTGATAAACTGTCAAATCGCCCTAACAGAGGAAGCGTCGGTTGGTG